TGCGAGCGCATGAACAGAATGGATCATGGACACTGGTACCGAGGTCGGCAAATCTACGACATATTGGGTGCAGATGGGTGTTCGCCACGAAGCGGAACAAGCATGGGCAAGTGGTTTGGTACAAGGCTCGGCTCGTGGCGAAGGGTTTCAAGCAGAAGTTCGGCGTAGACTTCTTTGGAACCTACTCACCGGTGGCCAACATGAACTTGACTCGTATGGTATTGGCGGTTATGGTGATGCAGAAGTACGTGACGGAGCAGTTGGGTGCGGACACGAGATTCCTCAACAGGGGGCTCAAGGAACGCGTGCACATGGAGGTGCCGTATGGCATTGAAGACGCCGGGGCTACATGTGCAGACTCGACTAGGCGATCAACGGATTGAAGCAAGCGGCGAGCGCATGAAACAAAACGATTTAACGCGTCTTCATGAAGCTTCAAGAGCTGCGGGGCAGACTAGTGCGTGCACGTTAAGGAGAGCAAGGGCAACTTGATATACGTTTGTCGTTACGTCGACGACGTGATCATCGCGGCGAAGACGAGCAAGGAAATCCAGGATGTCAAGATGGAACTCAAGAAGGCATTTAAGATGAAGGAGCTCGGCGAAGCTGAGTTCATCTTTGGGATGGAGATCGACCAACAGAGGTCAGCGAATTTACTGTCCATCAAACAAACCCGCTACATTGACGACATGGTGGAGCACTTCAACGAGCAGGACGCCAAGGCTGTGGAGAATCCGTGCGAGTCGGGACTCAAGCGGTCGAAGCTTCAATCGCCAACCACGGATGCGGGTAGGAACGAGATGCGGACGAAGCCGTACCGATCGCCAATCGGGTGCCTGCTGTACATCACCACTTGTACCCGACGTTGCGTACGTGGTGACGCAGCTGTCAAGGTTCTTGGAAAAACCAGGAAATCAGCACTGGAAGGCGGCCATCCGCGTTCTTCGTTATCTCAAGTCTACGTAGGCGATTGGGATCGTCTACCAAGGGGGCACAAGTAAAATGAAGGTCGAGGCATACGCAGACGCGGATTGGGGTAGTAATATTGACGACCGACGTTCAGTGTCGGGGATCATGGTTATGATTAGACAAGCGCCTGTGGTCTTCAAGTCCAAGTACTAGCGCACGGTGGCGCTGAGCTCGGCGGAGGCGGAGTACATGGCACTGAGTCTGTGCATCCAAGAAGTACTCGGAATGAGGGCGATGCTGAAGGACATTGGTCATGAGCAAATGGGAGCGACTCGCATATGGGAAGACAACCAAGAGGCGATCGCGCTGGCGTCAAACGCCAGCTACAACGCAAGGACCAAGCACTTGGACATTCGCCATCACTTCATCCGAGAGAACAAAACCAGGAAGGCTATTGACGTCAACTATATCGGCACGGGAAGCAGATGGTGAACATGATGACGAAGCCGCTGGGAACCAAGCGACTTCAGGTACTTCGCTCGGTGAGCGGAGTACGCGCCAAGCCCGCTGCGTATTAGCGGCAAGTAGGAGTGTTGAAGTGGCGCCGCGTAATGAGAGCTGGACGAGCTAAGGACTTATCGATTGATGGCATGAAGGTGATCAATGATCTTGAGGGCGGGCGCGTGGGGCACGCGCATGAGCTCGGCGAAGATAGGGAACTGACTCGATAAATGATGACTGGGATCGGCGATTCACGTATGGAAAGTGAAGTGAGTGCTAGATGTGATTGGATCACATCCAAAACTTCCCCCGCGACCTATCATCTTGCTGAAGGGTTGCAGGAAGAAGCTCGAGGGCGGCTGCTGCAGAGGCACAGAAAACAAGAAAGGAGCACAGGAAGGTAGCTACGGACATGTAGGCAGGGTAGATTATGTAGCTGCTAACTAATTCACTTCGGCATTTGCCTTCCACTACTCAACACTAAATCACGCGTCGATGGGTAATTTTTAGTGTAATTCTGAGCATAATCCAGGAGAGAATTTGACGCTGTACGTCCTTGACAAAATTCAATACTTTTCATGCTGATATTTAGGTACTTGTAAGTATTAAAGACTAAGCCAAAGTGCAAATTTCGTACAAATGTTTACTGATATATATATATATATTGCGTAAAGGAACAAGCACTGTGTTTCTAGCCTTAGCTTAGAAAACTCTTAGTTTCTATTCAGAGAGTATTACTAGCATAAAGTCTCGTGTTCTTTCATTATTAAAATCGTCAACGTGTTTCAGGGATTTGCACTTTGTTTCTATCGACATTGAAGACTTGTATTTACTTATCAACGCGGTTTTAAGAACATGGTGTTCCATATTATAACATCATTGGTACGAAGAGTGTCGTTTGCTAACGTTTAATAAAAGTCAACAAAAAATATTTTATCCGAAAATGTTATCAATTGATACTATGGATTACGATTTCCTTTCTGCTTAAGTGCCGTAAGGTGCTGCAACATCTCCTCTGCCAGCTTCACCCTATCTCTCCTCTGCAAAATTTCTTCAAACGTCATGTAATAATCATCCGCAACAGCTGACTTGAGCCAACTCATTTTCTCTTCATCCTGGAGTATCGATCTGAATATATTTGTCAGTTTCTTTTTCTCCAATGCATTCACAAATTTCTCCACCTGTAGTTTATCCTTCAGAGCCGCTCGAAATAGTCTCGCCCGAACATCATCTTTAGTAGCCACTCTGAGTGAAAACACTTGATTCATATCCTCTACTATCGTTTCAAACGCACTCTTCATAATATTACCACGCAGATTATGCCAGAAGGCATACATCTTTTGATCGTCCCCCAAAACCATTCTAAATGACTCCAATTTCACCTCGTCCTTCATTACCTCTTTAAGAATGAGCACTTTATTCTGATCTGCGAGAATCGCTTTGAGTATGGGCACCGTATCCAATTCCGTGCTGCTTAACATGTCATCAAGTAAGGTTAATCGTCCTGAAACATCTCTCAGTATATCTACACCTTCATTGTCCGCCAAAAACATCTTGAGCAGATGCAATGTATGTATATCCGGGATATTCTTTTGGGGAATAGTCACAACATCAGCTTTTTCCGCCATCATCTCCACATCATCTTTTGGCAGAAGCAATGAAGGTTTTACCTCATTCTCTAGACCATACAAATTTGTTTGCAGCAGTTGCACTGATTTCTCGTCTTTGAGCTCCTCCTGAAGCCAGTGCACAAATTTCTCGTTCTTCAACATTCCCTTAAACGAGGCTTTCATGTCCATGCCGCCAAGATTCATGGCAACAGAAGCGCCCTTTCTGATTCCTTCCAGAGCCTCTCTGACTAATTTCGCTTGACCTTTAGACTGCACTGCAGCTTTAAAGAGACGCAACTGATCCTCACTGATCTCCCTCCATATATCATCAACAAACAAATAGAATCGAGAGCTGTCGACACTCGTCGAAGTTAGCGCCAATTCATCCGAAAATAACTCTTCCTGTTTTTCTACATTCAAGCTTCCATATTTTTTCAGAAACCCAAATAAATTAGGCAACACGACACCAAAACTTTTTGTTTCGTGCTCAATAAAGTTGAAACGAACATAAGCGGCGTAATCAAGGAGGACATTTAGTTTGCCAACCATTTTTTTAGGAATACACGAGAAAAAATCATCAATCGAGTTGGATCGCATTGCT